TGTGCCCCACCCCCACCAATACTAGGGGACCAATCTTCCTTTGGGATCATAGCTGTGTCCCTCCCACCAATACTTGGGGACCAATCATCCTGTGGCCCTACTGGGACGGAGTTCATCTCATATGACAGAGTTGCTTATGAATTGGAACCAACTTGACATCATATAACATAACAACAGCAACAACATTTTGTTGATCCTGGGATTTATTTGTTCATAAAGTTTGACTTTAAAAAAATATTACTACATATATTATGTATCTTATTTACTGAGTCTTTGAAAAACCCTTCAATTTGGTCATTCAAATCCAGCTGATAGTAGCACAGAAGACAGGGCCGGCTATCTGCTTCTATTAACATGACAGCCAAGCAAAGTCGTGGCCAGTTCTACTCCATAAAACCTGGGTAAGCATGAGCTGGAACTGACTTGACAGCAGTGAGCTGTTTTTGTTTTTTAACTTTTCATCCTGGGCATGTGCCTTATTCAACCTAAGGAGCCCTGGTTTAAGTGCACTGGGTTAAGCACAGGGCTGCTGACCACAGGGTTAGTTGCTCTTTGGGAGAAAGATGAGGGTGTCTGCTCCTGTGAAGATTTACAGCCTGGGAAACTCTCTACAGAATGATTATGAGTCGAAGTCAGCTGTACAGCGGTGGGCTTGAGTTTTCATTTCAACCTTGTTAAGTGATACTTACCAGCAGTCCTGGTGTGGCACTATGGGTTAATACACTGGATTGCATGGTCAGTTTGAACTGCAAGGTGAACAGTTCAAGCTCATCAGCCACTCCTCAGAAGCCCTATACAGGGTCACTGTGCATCACAATCAACTCAATAGCCCTTAACAACAACAACAAAGTAGTACCAAAGTTGTTGTTATTATTATTATTATTGCTATTAAAATGCAACCAGGCAGGCAAACCCTGACAGCCTCATGGTGTAACTATAAATCCCTGGGCCCTGGGTAGCAGCTGTTAAGTGTCTGGAGTTGATTTGACTCATACAACTATAGGACAGAGGAAACTGCTGTAGGTTTCCTGGGCTGTCATCTTTATGGGAGAAGATAGCCTCATCGTTCTCCCAAAGAGTAGCTGGTGGGTTTGAACCACTAACCTTGTGTTTAGAAGACTGATGCTTAACCCACTGCACCACCTGGGCTCCTTGGGTTGAATGATGCACCTGCCCTAGGTGGAGCAGCTAGTGGCCTTCCAGGCCCTGGCTGACAACTGAAGACATCCAGCGTGTATTCTGGTGGTTCCTGGCTCAGGAGTTCAGCTGCTAGCTGGAAATTCAGCAGTTTCAGTTCACTCCATTCTCTCTGATACACAGACTGAGGGGGTGGATTGTGTTGTGTCAGCCCAATAGCAGCTGGTTCAAAGGGTGCTAACTGGGTCCCGAGCCCACATTCCTGGGCTTCAGGTGGATGGAACAAGAGACACTTTGATGGAGCAGCATTAGGTTGAGAGACCAGGGAGGAGCTGCACTGCCTCTGAACACAGCAGCCCGAAGTCTGGGCTGCTTACCGTACATTAGTCTTCCCTTCCTGGCACTGTAGGATTAGCACTGGACCACCAACAGTAAGGTCAGTGGTTCAAACCCACCAGCCACTCCTCAGAAACCCTTTATAGAATCCCTAAGAGCTTCTTATCAACAGAGAAAAGATTGAAGTTGTTAAGGACTTCATTCTTCTTGGATCAACTATCAACACTCTTGGAAACAGCAGTCACGAAATCAAATGACGCATTGCATTAGGCAAATCTGCTGCACAAGACCTTTTTAAAGTGTTGAAGGTCAAAGATTATAGCTTGAGGACTAAGGTGCTCCTTACCCAAGCCATGGTATTTTCAATAACCTCATATACATGTGAAAGCTGGACAGTGAATGAGGAAGACCGTAGAAGAATTGATGCCTTTGAGTTATGGTGTTGTAGGAGAATATTGAAAATGCCATGGGCTGCCAAAATAACCAATAGCTCCGTTTTGGAAGAAGTGCAGCCAGAGTGCTCCTTAGATGCCAAAATGGCCAAACTTCGTCTCTCATACTTCAGAAATATTGTCAGAAGGGACCATTTGCTGGAGAAGGAGATCATGTTTGGTACGGTGGAGGGTCAGAGAAAAAGAGGAAGACCCCTGATGAGATGGATTGGCCAAGTGGCAGCATCGATGGACTCAAGTGTGGCAATGGTAGTGAGGTTGGCCCAGGATCAGGCAGTGTTTTGTTCTGTTGTGCATAAGGTTGCTATGGGTCGATACCGACTCGATGGCACCTAACAACAAAAACAACAAGAGCCAAAACAGACTCAATGGCACTTAACAACAACAACCACCTTTACTTTGCAGTTATCAGCAGCTGCTAAGCCCCTTGCTTGATGATTCTGTGGGTCTGTGAGTTCAGCTGATCCTTAAGTAATCTCTGCTGTCAATTTGCTACCTGCCTGCCTTAGTTCCTGGGAGGAATGACCTTGATTCAAAGAAACAAAAGCAAATCAATTCAACAGATAAGAACTTTCCTCCACTAAATACAGATTGTTTTTTCTATGAGTCCAACCCTGCCTGAAGTACTGATGTCTTGGGATAATGGCTCTGCCTTTGTTCCTCTGTAATTCTCTCCTAAGGAGGATTATTCCTTTACATGTTGTGAATGAGGCACAGAAAGCTCCCACCCAGAAAAAGAACCAGTGGAAGTGTGGCTTCTGAAAGATTGGGGCTGGCTTTTCCACTTAGAAGTCTTCCCTTGGATAATCTTGCTAAGTCTTGGGGCTCATGGTCAACCCTTTGTAATCCTACTTCTCCCCCAGATGCAACTGCTGTGCTGAATGTCCTAATGCCAATGCCCAGGTTAAATGCTTTACAATATTATGTCCTGCAATACTCACCATAACCTGAGCAGCAGAGTGGTTTTCCCACTTTAAAACAAGGAAACTAAGATTTAACAAGATCCGATGCCAACAATATAAAACTTGCTCTTGGCTGGCACCAAATGAGTTCCTAACTCACAGCAACCCCATGTCCAAGTAGGGTTGTGTTTTAGTGCTACACAGACTCCAACCATAAGGATTGGGAAAGTGACAGCATCAATGGGCTCAAGCATGACAACTGTGAGGTTGGCCCAGGACCAGGCAGTGGTTCGTTCTGTTGTGCATAAGGTCACTATGAGTTGGTATGGACTCAATGGCACCTAACAACAATAACAGTGGACTCCAAGTGACCACATTTTATAGACAAGACAAAGACAATCATCCCAGAATGAGGGAAACCATAGAATGTACACAGTACAGAGGTGAGACGGAGTCCACTGTGTCACAGCCATTAGAGTTCCTTACATGAGATTAGAGGACAATGAAATTCTCCCCCAGATCATGTTGTTATTGTTAAGTGCCATCAAGTCGAATCTGACTCATAGAGAGCCTGTGCAGGGTTTCCTAGGAGCGGCTGGTGAGCTAGAACTGCCGACCTTGTGGTTCAAACCGACCTTGAGGTTGAGTGCTTATCCTATGGTGCTGTTGTAGGCGGGATCACGGAAGCTGGGAAGGGACCATGATTGGAATATGTACACAGTGTATATTTCTAATCATGGGATTATCTATCTGGCGGTCACAATATGCCTTACAACCATGCCCCCACCAGGACCCCAAATTTCCCAAATTTTCTAGAACAAGTGTATATTTTTGGTAAATCATTAAAAACAGCCCCTTTGAGTTTCCCAGTTCTCTGTGAAAACCTGTGGGCAAAAGGATCTCCTCCCCACCCCCACCCCCATCCCCACCCCGGACTTTTAGACTTTTACAGAGAACTGGGGATGTCAGAGAGGCCATTCTTAATGATTTACCAAGAATAGACAAAAAAAAGTTGTGATTGACTTTCAAACACACTCACCTCAGAGCAAAGCTACCCCTCCTTACACTTGCCCCAGACTTGTCTACACATTAGCCACCTTGCTGATGCAATGGTCAGAAAGAACCCATATGGCATCTGAACTTAGTGGAGACTCAAAATGAAGTTAGACCTCTTGCTCTAAGCTTTGTTGTTGTTGTTGTTGTTGTTAAGTGCCATCGAGTCAATTCTGATCCATAGCAATCCTGTATAGGGTTTCTGAGGAGCAGCTGCTGAGCTTGAACCACTGATCTTGCAGTTCAAATGGCTTTGCAGTCTGGCGCATTAACCACAGTGCCACACCTTAGCCTTCCACAAACCAAGTGCTGTTTGTTCTCTGGGTCACTAACAGAAAGCATCTTTAT